GAGGGGGGGGGGGAGAGGCTGAGTGCGGGGAGAAGGGAAAGGCAAAAGGCCCGTTTCGTCAATCCCAGCACCAGCAGCATGTCCCGCAGTAAAAACCGGCAAAAGGACAGGTGACAGTGTAGTTATTTTCAATTCAAAGTGATGGGCTGCTGAAACACACATGCACTTTTGTTTTTGTTTGTTTGCCTCGCTTCAGTTCGCCGTAGACATTCTACGAATCGAAGAAGCCCCATAGCCTATCAAGTCAAAGAATTTTTGGCACACATACACACAACGAAAACAGCAACAACAAGAAAGAAAGCAACTCCACCAAAAAAAAAAAAGAGGCACACACAGGTTGCGCATACGTTCTGAAGCAGCAAACGAAGCGGGGAACATAACAACAAGCAAAAAGGGACCAAACAATGATCCGCCGGTGCGCATTCGCTACTGTAGTGCCAACAGCTGGAGCACTGTGCCTTGCTGCGTCCCGGCGTGGCCTGCACTACGCACCGCGTCCGCGGGACATACAGTTCCTCATGGAAGACGTCTTCGACATGTACCCACACTATGCAAAGATGGGGCGGGGGGACGTCAACAAGGAGCTCTTTGACGCTCTGCTCGACGAGAGCGCTAAACTGGCCACGCAGACGCTCTTTCCACTCTACACCACTTCCGACGATGAGGGCTGTCACCTGCTTCCGGATGGCAGCGTGAAGACGCCAAAAGGGTTCAAGGAGGCGTACAACGCCTTCAAGGACGGCGGCTGGGTCGGCATCTCGCACCCCGAGGAGTTCGGCGGGCAGGGGCTGCCGGCCTCTGTTGGCTTCATCCTGCGGGAGTTGATGGCCACGGCGAACTGGCCGCTGTCGATGTACCCCGGCCTCAGCATGGGCGCCGCCAACACGTTGCTGGCGTGGGGAAACAAGGAACAGAAGGAGCTTTACCTTACCAAGCTCGTGACGGGGGAGTGGAGTGGCACAATGTGTCTCACGGAGCCCCAGTGTGGGACGGACCTGGCGCAGGTGAAGACCAAGGCAGAGCCCTGCGGTGATGGCACCTACAAGCTGAAGGGAACAAAGATATTCATCTCCGCAGGCGACCATGACATGGTGCCCAATGTTGTGCATATTGTCTTGGCGCGACTCCCCGACTCGGCGCCGACGACGAAGGGGATCTCCCTCTTCCTTGTGCCGCGGCACGTAGTGAAGGCAGACGGCTCGCTGGAGCCTGCAAAAAATGTGAAATGTGTGGGCCTTGAGTCCAAGATGGGAATCAAAGGAAGTGCCACATGCCAGCTGAGTTTTGAAGACTCTGTGGGATACCTGATTGGGGAGCCTAATGCTGGGTTAAAGCAGATGTTTACCTTTATGAATGCTGCTCGCGTCGGAACGGCGATGGAGGGCATCTGCCATGCAGAACTTGCGTTCCAGAACGCCCTGCGGTACGCTCGTGAGCGGGGATCGCAGCGTTCTCTCAGCGGCACCAAGTGCCCTGACAAGCCGAATGATTCTCTCGTGTGGCATCCGAACGTACGCCTGAATATTCTTTTCGCAAAGGCTGTTGCAGAGGGTGGCCGCGCTTTCTTGATGGATGTGGGTCGCATGCTCGACCTGCAGGACAGCGCGAAGGACGCGGAGGCAAAGAAAAGGTTGGATCACGAGATCGGCTTCTACACTCCTATTGCGAAAGCGTGCCTAACGGAGTGGGGTGTGGAGGCGGCGTCGCGCTGCCTGCAGGTGTGGGGTGGTCACGGCTACATCAAGGGCAACGGTATGGAGCAGATCCTCCGCGACGCGCGCATTTCGACACTGTACGAAGGCACGACGGGTATTCAATCGCTTGACTTCATTGGCCGAAAGGTCCTGCGGTCCAAGACGGACGAGGTGTCACGCTTTGGCACCAAGGTGAATGCCTTCGTGCGGCCGTACTTCTTCAGCCGCGGCGCCATTGGAAAACACGCCCGGCGCCTGTGGGTTCTGCAGAAGCAGTGGCGTGTGGGGCTCACAAAGTTAAAAATGGCGGCGATCAACGATGTCGACACCGTCGGCGCCGCGTCAGAGGACCTGCTCATGTACACCGGTTACATGGTGCTCGGCTACTACTGGCTGCGCATGGCCATCGCCGCGCAGAAGCGTATCGACGCTGGCAAGGACACCGACGGCTTCTACCAGTGCAAGTTGGACCTCTGCGACTACGTGTTCGAGTCCATTATCCCACGTGCGGATGCGCACTTCCAAATGATGCAGAGGGGTTCGGAAATCATGAAGAGCAAGGAGACGACGTGGGACATCTGCTAAGGCCCTGCGGGCCACACACTCACGCACACAGACAGACAGACGTAAGCACGTGCCGAGGCGTAGGTGACGAGGGAGTCGCACAGCTAGAGGTGTGGTGCGCAGCACGACCAGCGACAACGAACAAAACATGAAACCGAAACCAAGAAAGAAAAAAAAAACACATACGCAAAAACAAGCAAAAAGAACAGTGGAGTGAGTGGCGGGTAGAATTGCAAGCGTTATATCTTTTTTTTTTGTTTTCGTGGTGCTATTCGTGTGTTCATTCACAGCTGCGCGCATTCATCCCCTCTGCTGCCCACCCGCGTTCTGCACGCGGGTGGGCGGCGCAGGGGAAAGAAAAATGCAGCCGCGTGGCGGCGATGTGTCTGCAGCAAGTGGAGCACCAACGCCAACAACGAAAACAACAAAAATCGAGCCTACAAGACTAGGAGAAAAGGCGAATACGACATGTCGTGTGTGTGCATGCGTGTGGGTGTGGGTGTGTATGTGCGTGAGGGACTCATCGCCACTGGGGCCTCACTCCCCGTGCGTTTGATTGCTCTGCAGAAACGCCCCTTGCGTCTCTGTGTGCGTTGGCACGAGCGTGCGCCCCAACAGCAGCAGCAGCAGCAGCGGTGGTTGTGGTGGTTGTGTGGGGCGTGGATAGGTGCACGCGCGAGGCGAACGGCACGGGGAAACAAACACAGGGAGAATGAAGCGGAAGAACAGGTGCCTCTGGCTTAAAGCTTGCAATCGTGTCAGATGCGGGCGGAGCAAAGCGAAGGCGGCACCAGTACGAAGAGCAACAAGACCTCAGCTTCACCGCCATGTGGCTCGGACTCGGTGGATCTATCTATATATTTGTCTGGGTGTGTGTGCGCGTGTGAGGGGCGGCACTCTGCGCGTGAAATAATCGTTTTTCGTTTCGTTCCTGCCGATGCGTATGTCAATGTGGGTACGCGCGTTTTTTTTTTTTT